AATATATACATAAATGGAAAAACGATGTAGAAGTGGTGCCTACGGAGATTAATACGAATTCTGTTTTAAACAAAACAATGAACCAAGTCAATTACACAATTTCGTTCAACAAGGCAGAGGTGAAGTTGTAATCATATCACTGGATTCTCCCCCTCCAATTGCACCCCTCCCGCCTCACCCACCCTCATCCTTTTAATCAATATCAGCGGTTAAGGTGTCGAGGTTACGGGAACGGTGCATTCCCTCCACATCCCCTCCCTTCCCGCCATCCCCACCGGCACTCCCTGTGGTGTCAGCGGTGATTATGCATCACCTTTGCAAGTGCATAAAGACGGTTGCAACTGACTCTCCGCCACGCTCGGCCCAACATCAGACTCTGACTCGATCTCGGATCTGCCTTGCATTGCAACATTTGTTATCAATAAACTCGTACGTGGCACCTGCATCCGGCGGCAACGTCGTTGACACATCAATGGGTGAGGACGATTGTGTCGCGACGACCAAGATGGATTTTTCCGATATTTGCGGCTTAGACGTGATGTCAACCTCTTGAGGCCCGACAACAGTAGTCCCGTCATCTCCCCTGTGCCCTGCTTGCGCGGCCACAGAGGCCGGCTCAGCCGAAGGCATGAAATCATGAGAGCAGCTCCCTTCCAAGGTTCTGGCGGTTTGATCAACCTTCCAGTTGATTGACCCGCGTGAGGGACTCGAGCGCAGGGCATAAAATTTGTTGCTGTACTCTACTTGCCGATTGTCGCGCAAGACATGAAACAATTCTTCGACCTTGGCTTTGATGGTGGCCTCGCTGTGCTCTGGATTCTCGACGCGCACGCAATGCAGGATCGCGAGTTCCGTCGTTTTCAACCAGATGTCCTTTGACATCCGGCGAAAAGTCTTCCAACCGCTTGTGTATTTCACCGCCATCTTCCACTCCCCATCTTGGATGCACGAGTGTAAAACGCCCTCTTGCTATATGATGTCATGGCCCCACTGATCCTTGCCTGTGTGGGTGTGTTTGCCCTCCAAGAAATATATCGTGTCCGGGTCAGCACAGTAGCCTGAAGGAATTGCATCGCCTGGTGCGAGCGTCGACGCCTCGCCTGGTATCTCAATGTCGTCTTCTTCATTGCCACCGCATCTTCCAATGTCTTGCAATGCAGCACTCTCGGATGGGGCCACCATTGAGGCAACGCTTGGGGCGGCCACCGGGATGGACCCTCCGTGCGAATGGACAGTTCCGTCTTCGTGAGCTTGCACCATTCCACCGCGCGGAACCTCAGCACATGTGTCCTCGCCCAGTTCGAGGTCGGAGTCCGAAGAATTTTCCTCGCTGTCGACGGGGTTAAAGCCATCGCCCGATTTCGCGAGCTCTGCGTAGTCCTTGGACGTCAATTTGTCTTTGCGAAAATCGAACTTGAGGATCTCGCATCGAGCAACAAAAGTCTCGAAGGCGCCAGTGAGAGCACTGTGATAATGTTTGAGGGTCTTTGTTGCCTTTGTTTTCCTGTATATATATTTTCCGTCAAGCCGTCCTTGTGGCATATCGCGGAACAAGTACTCCCACACCTGCAGTCTCTTAGGCCCCAACTTGTGGAACATGTCCCTGTTCGGGTGATGTTTGCAACGCGGTTTCTCGATGTGGCAGTTGAATTTGTCGTCCTTGACAAGTATATCGATGAACTTTGTCAAGTATGCAATGTCCTTTGCCGACTCGTCACAGGCAATGACATTATTCCCTGCTAGTAATAATTCCCACACAAGACCCGCGTGCGCCCTACCCAATAAAAGCACACCTTCCGCCTCCCCGACGAATGACCCACACAACGAACGCAACTTGCCAGGATCTCGCTCCCAGATGGAATACACCACACTTTCATCGCCCTCTATGCCACCGTGTTTCCCCAGACACTTCCCGAACTTGTCCTCCACAACATGCACGTTTGTGAGGTCATTGACAATGCGGAGTGCGACCGTGACCTTTCTGAGATCCCCTCCCTCCGCGTGCAGGACAATGGCCATCATGTCTCGACTCGCCATAGCGATATTGCCATACTTCGTGATGTCATTCGATGGCCTGTCCACCCGTTTCCATGTCCCGAGGATAAGTTCGATGTCCTCCCACTGGAATAAGCAACGCAGAACATCACTTTGCACCTTTTGCGGTGCGAAGACAAAAAGAACCCAATTAGAGCCACAACACTTAGTCACCATAGAGTGCAGAGCGTCGAACTCTTGAGAGGTTCATGTCGTGCAGAAGTTAGCGGGGGAGATGTCAAGGATGACGGCCCTGCAGGTCATTTTTTGCGCCGCAGCGACGATGTCGTCTGGCGCAACCAGCACTTCCTTCAATGGCATGCACACTGGTAGCAATGTTGTTTGTTTTTTAAGTTTATCCCACACGATATGACGTGCGCTGGAGGCGACTCGTTTGACCTCCGCCCGAAGCAGATTGAGCTTATCGATTGAGGTGTATACAAACACCTTAAAGTGGAACGGAGCCTACTTATATATTGCCGCCGTAGGGCCCAAGCCTGATCCTTGCCTTCCCTCCTCCACCCCTCCAAGCCGTCGAGGGACCGTCTTCACTTTGCTGACATGCAGCTTGTCCCGTTCCTTCTCCCATTCAGCTGCACACAGACCGTTGGCCCATACCTGTCTTCGAGGTCCTTGTATGACATGAAGAAGACATCATTCCACTCATCGTCCGCCCTTCCCTCGGCGCGAAAAACAACGTAGTTGAACATACGGACCATGTACCGTTCCTTGTGCATGATGTCGAGGAGGCACTCCGTATTCACTCTCGGAGGCATGACCTTGACGTTCGTCGCGACCACCTTCCCTTTCATGAGGAGGAGCAGTGCAACTTCCCTCTCGCGGCACGTCAAATCCCCAAAATTTTTGAAGTAGGAAGGACAGAGATCCTTCCACGACACGGTGGAACCTTTGGGACCATCTCTCGCGTATATGCAACGATATAATGTTCCTTGCCCCTTCGTCTCGTTGGTGTATGGGTCTGGCTGGCGCCCCTCCATCCTACCCGACACGTCAAGCGGTATTTTACCATCGCCAACTAGCAGTTTCCCCTCGTTGAACATCTCGAAGAACTTCTCAACCAGTGGCCACACAGCCTCGGTGGATGTGGAGAGGTTCATGTAGCCACGGAGTTTATTGCTCCAATCCTTACTGTACTCATTCTCGAGCGCCTGCTTCACGAACGCCTTGTCGCATGCCTTCCCCATGGAGGCCCTTAAGAAATTCTGCCACTTTTTTTGGTGCGCAACGGCGACCGCATCCTTATCGCTGACCTTGCCTCTCCGGGCCTCGATTCGATGGTTATCGATCCACCATTGCCTCATATCACGGACAGCATCCTCGAAGGACAACATCATGGCCCGATTTTCGCTGTCATGGCCTCGACCGTATGCTGACCACAGAGAGCATACCAATCGAACTCCGAGGAGTCTCTTTCGAAGAATTCGGTCGGTGTTATCCGCCCACCCTTCCCGCCAACGATGTCGTTGCGGTCAACCGGCGCAAGCACGAGCTCAGGCCTATCCCACGCCCCCGGTTCCGTGGTGATGGAACTCTCGATGGCATTCACGATGCCTCGCACAATGTTCGCAGACAAAGAGCGGTGGTTGAAAAGAATATTCCCGCGGGGAATGCATTTGATTTTCATGACGTCCACAAGAACAGGAAGGACTTTTTGCTTAGCAAAACCCCGCTCGTCGTACTCGAGGAAGAAACACCGCGTTGTGTCGATGGGCGCATCGTGCTGAAGCGGTTCATCATCATCGTCGGCAATGCGAGGGCCCACTCCCTCACCCTCATCCCCTGAGTCCCGCAGTTCTTCAGCCCTCACTATCTGCTTACCTTTCCTTGCGCCACCACGGCCGCCGCCACGACCGCCAGATCTTCCCTCCTGGCTGCTCTTCCGAGGAGGTCTCGCCTCCTGGGATGCCACCAGAGCTCCACGAGCCTCATTAATAGCGTCAGTCCTCGCTTGTCTCTTGTGAGCGAAAGCAGAAGGAGAAGTTTCTCTTGTCCTTTTCCTCGACTTTGATCCTCCGTGCTCCTGCGAGTCATACCCACCCTGACTCCCGCCTTGCGAATGCCATATCGCAGGGGACGACATGGGCCGACCAACAACCGCTCCCACAGAACCGGTGGGGATGTCGCCAGGGCCATGCTCCGACGTGACACCGACGTCGTCATCGGCAAGCATGTTTTGGTCCTGCATGTTCTCATCCCCAACGTCCATATACTCATCATCACCGTCGTCTTCACGTGGACCGCAGCTTCCCCCATCTTCTTCCTCCTCGTTTCGCTCAGTGAGGGCGGTCGCACCTTCCTGGGCACTGTCACGCGCAGCATTGCGTCCGTACAGATTTCTGTCATCGTACTCCGTAGCCTCGCTGGAACATTGAGCGATATCGTGACCTCCCCTGACCGTGGGCAAGGGCGAGGGCGACGCGGCTGGCAAAGGCGGAGCTGAACAAGCAGCCAACTGTTTCCTCTTCCCAACCGACGCGGATGGCGTCTGTCGCGATTTCCTCGAGCTCGTGACAAAGGGCACGAAAGCGCAGTCAGCTTGCTGGTCCAGAGGCAGCCTCAAGAAGGCTTCCCTGTACTCCTTAACAACGCCTGGCAGTTGGTCCGCCGGGCTGCTGAATTTCACCAAGGGTTTGGTGAGCTCCAAGGAACTTTCAACGACAGGAAGGCAGCCAGTGACGCGGTAGCCGTTCGTTCTACTGAGGAACTGTTCCGCAGTCAGCATGCGAAGCTCGGTGCCGTCCCTGCACACGTCAAACGCTTTCATGGAGAAAGCCTTGACGCCGTAGCCTTGAAAGAGCCGCAAGTCAAGGCCGGCCTTCTTGTCTTCCTTGACCCAATTTTTCCCATCCTTGTCGAAAACTGACGTAAGAAAGAAGGTCCTGAAGGTCCTCCCGTCGTAGGTATTCATGGCGCTCTCAGATTTCTCAACACCCCCACAGCAGTACCACGTCGCACCATTGTCGTCGCTCAAGAAGACGACGGCCCCACACCCAGGCCTATGCAGACCACCAACCCAATCCAGAGCCATGGTTTGTTGTTGTAGATTTTTGACCTGCCATATGCCCGAGAGGACGAAGCAGCAGATTGACCTAGAGGACACAAACGAAGGAAACGCACAAGCAAAGAACAAATGAGGAACAAACAGAAGCGCTTCGCATGTGGAGTCGACCCTCGTTTCTGGAAAGGGGTCCGGCGTTCCCTAGACGCCCGCCCCCCCGACCCTCGTTTCTGAAAGGGGGTCCGGCGTTCCGAGAACGCCCGACCCCCGACGTCTCCGGAAAGGGGGTCCGGCGTTCCCAGAACGCCCGACCCCCGACAGACGTTTATGGAAGGGGGTCCGGCGTTCCCAGAATGCCCGACCCCCGACCGTCGTTTATGAACGGGGGTCCGGCGTTCCCAGAACGCCCGACCCCCGACCGTCGTTTATGAAAGGGGGTCCGGCGTCCCCAGAACGCCCGCCCCCCTCGGGGCATTTATGAAAGGGGGTCATTTGCTCCCAGAACGCCCGACCCCCGACCACATGTCCGTCCCTCCCCCTCCCTCTAGCAGCACCGAGGGGGGTCCGGCGTTCCCGGAACGCCGGACCCATGTCAGTGCTGCCAGAGAGTAAGGGGCCCCCTCCCTCCCCGTCGCCGGCAAGAGCCCCAAGGGGATCCGGCGTTCCGAGAACACCGGACCCCCTTTGTGCTGCGGGGGAAGAAGTGGGTCCGTCCGCGCCCCTCGATGGCCACAGCACAAAGGGGGTCCTGTGTTCCCGGAACGCCGGATGCCCTATGTGCGGCGGGGGAGGACGGGAACGCCAGACCCCTTTCATGTCCTTCCCTCCCCCTCCCTCTACCAGCACCGAGGGGGGTCCGGCGTTCCCGGAACGTCGGACCCATATCGGTGCTGCCAGAGAGTAAGGGGCCCCCTCCCTCCCCGTCGCCGGCAAGAGCTCCAAGGGGATCCGGCGTTCCGGGAACGCCAGACCCCCTTTGTGCTGCGGGGGAAGAAGTGGGTCTGTCCGCGCCCCTCGATGGCCACAGCACAAAGGGGGTCCAGCGTTCCCGGAACGCCGGACGCCCTATGTGCGGCGGGGGAGGACGGGAACTCCAGACCCCTTTGTGCCGCAGGGGAGGACGGGGTTCGAGATCCGATCCGACGATGGGCATAGCACGAAGGGGGTCCGGCGTTCCCGGAATGCCGGACCCCCTTTGTGCTGTGGGGGATGAGGGGGGTCCGCCCCACCCCCTCGATGACCACAACACGAAGCCTGTGCACCCCTCGCTCCCCCGAAGTGCGAAGGGGGTCCGGCGTTCCGGGAACGCCGGACCCCCTCCGCACTGCGGCGGGGGGGGGGGCGGGGGACAAGGCAAGACGCACCCCTCGCTCCCCCGAAGCACGAAGGGGGTCCGGCGTTCTGGGAACGCCGGACCCCTTCTGCACTGGAGGGGGGGGGGACAAGGCG